CCAGCCTGACCAGCTGACCAAGCCCGACAGAACAGACCAGACCAGCCAGACGAACCAGTCCAGCCAGACCAGACCAGGCCAGCCAGACCAACCTGACCAGCCAGACCAATCAACCAGACCGGACCAGCCAGACGAATCGGACAAGCCAGACCACCCAATCAGACCAACCAGATCGACCAGCCAGACCAACCAGACAAGGCAGACCAACCACCATCGTCCTCGTCGTGGTCGTCGTGGTCGTGGTCGCAGCCCTGTCGGCGTATCCATTTTTATGACGACAGGTTCATTTCTTTGGAAAGCAAGATTCAGCTGAAGTCGTCGTGGCCGTCGACTTCCCGGTCGTCGTCGTCGTCGTCGCGGCCGGTCCTGGTCGCGGTCGCAGCCCTGTCGGAGTATAACTTTTTATGGAGACGGGCTCAGACGGCCCCAAGACGGCCCAAGAGGCCCCCAAGACGGCCCAAGAGGGCTCCAAGACGGCACCAAGAGGGGCGCAACACCAGCGAAACCAACCAGACCAGCCAGACCAACCAGACCAGCCAGACCAGCCAGACCAACCAACCAGATCAGACCAGCCTGACCAGCTGACCAGGCCAGGCAGACCAGACCAGATTAGACCAGCCAGACGAACCAGTCCAGCCAGACCAGACCAGGCCAGCCAGACCAACCTGGCCAGCCAGACCAATCAACCAGACCGGACCAGCCAGACTAACGGGACCAGCCAAACCAACCAATGAGACCAACCAGTTCGACCAGCCAGACCCACCAGACCAGCCGGACCAGCTGGACCAGACAAGCCAGACCAACCACCATCGTCCTCGTCGTGGTCGTCGTGGTCGTGGTCGCAGCCCTGTTGGCGTATCCGTTTTTATGAAGGTAGTTCCAGTTTTTTGGGAAGCCAAATTCAACTGAAGTCGTCGTGGTCGTCGTCTTCCCGGTTGTCGTCGTCGCGGCCGGTCCTGGTCGCGGTCGCAGCCCTGTCGGAGTATATCTTTTTATGGAGACGGGCTCAGACGGCCCCAAGACGGCCCAAGAGGCCCCCAAAACGGCCCAAGAGGCAACCGAGAGATCCGCCACCGCGCTTGCAGCGGTAGGTGTGTCTCAGGCCCAGTCGTCGTGATCCCAGACGTTCGCGCTGCAACCTCCCCTAAACCACTCGCGCCCGAAGCCTAAGCTAAAGCTGCAAGACGAAGCTCAAACCAGACCCACCAGGCCAGCCAGACCAGATGCAAAAAAAACTGCAATGCAGAAACAACTGCAATGCAAAAAAACAGTTTTCGTGTCGTCGTGGTCCCAGACGTTCGTGCTGCAACCTCCCCTAAACCACTCTCGCCCGAAGCCTAAGCTAAAGCTGCAAGACGAAGCTCAAATCAGACCAACCAGACCAGCCAGAAAAGATGTAAACAAAAACTGCAATGCAGAAACAATTGCAATGCAAACAAGAACAGTTTTCGTGTCGTCGTGGTCCCAGACGTTCGTGCTGCAACCTCCCCTAAACCACTCTCGCCCGAATCCTAAGCTAACGCTGAAAGACGAGGCTCAAACCAGACCAACCAGACCAGCCAGACCAGATGCAAAAAAAATTGCAATGCAAAAGAAAACTGCTGCTTTTCGGTGGTGGTGGTAGTGGTTGCCTCCCTGGACCTCCCCTAAACCACTCTCGCCTGAATCCTAAGCTAAAGCCTCAGCACCAAGCTCAAACCAGACCAACCAGACCAGCCAGACCAGATGCAAAAAAAAACTGCAATGCAAAAAAACTGCAATGCAAAAAAAAACTGCAATGCAACAAAATCTGCTTTTCGGAAGGGGTAGTGGTTGTTGCTGCCTCCCCGGACCTCCCCTAAACCACTCTCGCCGGAATCCTAAGCTAAAGCCTCAGCACCAGGCTCAAACCAAATGCGAAAAAAACTGCTTTTCAGTGGTGGTTGTCGCTGCCTCCCCGGACTTTCACTAAACCACTCTCGCCTGAATCCTAAGCTAAAGCCTCAGCACCAAGCTCAAACCAGACCACCCAGACCAGCCAGACCAGATGCAAAAAAAATGCAATGCAAATAAAAACTGCAACGCAAAAAAAAAAACTGCAATGCAAAAAAAACTGCAATGCACAACATCTGCTTTTCGGAAGGGGTAGTGGTTGTTGCTGCCTCCCCGGACCTCCCCTAAACCACTCTCGCCTGAATCCTAAGCTAAAGCCTCAGCACCAGGCTCAACCAGACCACCCAGACCAGCCAGACCAGATGAAAAAAAAACTGCAATGCAAAAAAAACTGCTTTTCGGTGGTAGTGGTTGTCGCTGCCTCCCCGGACCTCCCCTAAACCACTCTCGCCTGAATCCTAAGCTAAAGCCTCAGCACCAAGCTCAAACCAGACCACCCAGACCAGCCAGACCAGATGCAAAAAAAATGTAATGCAAACCAAAACTGCAATGCAAAAAAAACTGCAATGCAAAACTGCAATGCAACAAGATCTGCTTTTCGGAAGGGGTAGTGGTTGTTGCTGCCTCCCCGGACCTCCCCTAAACCACTCTCGCCTGAATCCTAAGCTAAAGCCTCAGCACCAAGCTCAAACCAGACCACCCAGACCAGCCAGACCAGATGCAAAAAAATGCAATGCAAATAAAAACTGCAATGCAAATAAAAACTGCAGTGCAAAAAAACTGCAATGCAACAAAATCTGCTGTTCGGAAAGGTTAGTGGTTGTTGCTGCCTCCCCGGACCTCCCCTAAACCACTCTCGCCTGAATCCTAAGCTAAAGCCTCAGCACCAGGCTCAAACCAGACCAACCAGACCAGCCAGACCAGATGCAAAACAAATGCAATGCAAAAAAACTGCAGTGCAACAAAAATGAAATGCAACAAAAAATGCTTTTCGGTGGTAGTGGTTGTCGCTGCCTCCCCGGACTTCCCCTAAACCACTCTCGCCTGAATCCTAAGCTAAAGCCTCAGCACCAGGCTCAAACCAGACCAACCAGACCAGCCAGACCAGATGCAAAAAAAACTGCAATGCAAACAAAAACTGCAGTGCAAAAAAACTGCAATGCAAAAAAAAATGCTTTTCGGTGGTAGTGGTTGTCGCTGCCTCCCCGGACCTCCCCTAAACCACTCTCGCCTGAATCCTAAACTAAATCCTTAGCACCAAGCTCAAACCAGACCAACCAGACCAGCCAGACCAGATGCAACAAAAAACTGCAATGCAAACAAAAACTGCAGTGCAAATAAAACTGCAATGCAACAACAAAAATGCTTCTCGGTGGTAGTGGTTGTCGCTGCCTCCCCGGACCTCCCCTAAACCACTCTCGCCTGAATCCTAAGCTAAATCCTTAGCACCAAGCTCAAACCAGACCACCCAGACCAGCCAGACCAGATGGAAAAAAGATGAAATGCAAACAAAACTGCAATGCAAAAATAAGTGCAATGCAACAAGATCTGCTTTTCGGAAGGGGTAGTGGTTGTTGCTGCCTCCCCGGACCTCCCCTAAACCACTCTCGCCTGAATCCTAAGCTAAAGCCTCAGCGCCAGGCTCAAACCAGACCAACCAGACCAGCCAGACCAGATGCAAAAAAAACTGCAATGCAAAAAAAACTTCAGTGCAAAAAAACTGCAACGCAAAAAAACTGCAATGCAAAAAAAATGCTTCTCGGTGGTAGTGGTTGTCGCTGCCTCCCCGGACTTCCCCTAAACCACTCTCGCCTGAATCCTAAGCTAAAGCCTTAGCACCAGGCTCAAACCAGACCAACCAGACCAGCCAGACCAGATGCAAACAAAAACTGCAATGCAAAAAAAACTGCAGTGCAACAAAAAACTGCAATGCAACAAAAAAATGCTTTTCGGTGGTAGTGGTTGTCGCTGCCCTCCTGGACCTCCCCTAAACCACTCTCGCCTGAATCCTAAGCTAAAGCATTAGCACCAAGCTCAAACCAGACCAACCAGACCAGCCAGACCAGATGCAACAAAAAATGCCATGCAAAAAAAACTGCAGTGCAACAAAAAACTGCAACGCAAAAAAAAAAAAATGCTTTTCGGTGGTAGTGGTTGTCGCTGCCTCCCCGGACCTCCCCTAAACCACTCTCGCCTGAATCCTAAGCTAAAGCCTCAGCACCAAGCTCAAACCAGACCACCCAGACCAGCCAGACCAGATGCAAACAAAAATGTAATGCAAACAAATACTGCAATGCAAAAACAACTGCAATGCAAAAACAACTGCAATGCAACAAGATCCGCTTTTCGGAAGGGGTAGTGGTTGTTGCTGCCTCCCCGGACCTCCCCTGAACCACTCTCGCCTGAATCCTAAGCTAAAGCCTCAGCACCAGGCTCAAACCAGACCAGCCAGACCAGCCAGACCAACCAGAGCACTCAGACCAGATGCAACTCCGACCAACTTGTTCTTTGGAAGCTTGGCGTCCCGCCGTACGCTACACGGCTAAGAACTTTATAAGACGGTGTACCAGGCCCCCATGACTTGCTACCGAATTCTTCGGGGGCCAGAGCCGACCCCTCCGAGTAGGCCCCCATCACCGGGCGGGTGCTAATGGGGGGTGACCTATTGGGGGGGTGAAGAAAATTGCCCTAAAGGAGCCCTTCAGGGCTCCCAGAGGGCCCCGTTTGGGCCCTTTTCTTCGCCCCCCATTTGGGTCACCCCCCCGTTGCCGCCCGCTCGACCCCCATCAGCGTGGGGTTCAGAGATCCCGGTGCTGGCCCTCTGGGGAGCTGCCCGTCTCCCCGGCTTGGGGGCGTGCCCGGTGCGGCGGTGGAGCTGGCTCTCGGCAGCGCAGGCGGGCTCGCGGAGCCGGCCAGGCTGGGCACGGCCCCCCGGGCCCGAGGGCGCCTTGCGCGCCCAGTGCCGCGGAGCGGCTAGGCGCACATTCATCTGCCTGGGCACCACTGCCATTGCCATGGCCTCCTCCTCCTCCTGCTCCTCCTCCTCCTCGTGGTCCCACCCCATCGAATCATCTTTGTGAGCACTTCGCTTACACTACACCCGCCAGCAGCGAGCGCAGGACCCCCCCCCGCCAGTCGCTGCTCGATCGGAGCGTAGTCCTTGTCCAACTGCTTGAGCGTCTCGCAATCGCTGTCTGTGCACATGTGCTGCCTGGCTTCTCCGAGATCGGCACTCTGGCAACATGTGTCAAGAGCTCGACCGTCCAAACAAACACCTGAGCTCACGAAACGCATGGAAGATGGACTGCGCACAATCCCTACGATGAAGATATATGGTCATATATGATATAGGCAACAAGACAGTGCGTGAACAGCGTAACAGGTGCCAGAAGTACCGTAAAGCGAACATGCGCACCAAAACGAGCAGACCAGAGCAGACAACGCGACGCCTAATCCAATATTTCTCTCGCTTGAACAACTCCTGAGGCTTCCTCTGCAAGTCCTTTATGTCTTTTGCTCGTTGTCTCACGGCATCGAACTTCAAGATCGTCTGCTCGAACTCCTCCCTTCTGTGAAACTCAATCCCCCGTGGGCAGCACTGCCAAATCGCAATTCGGAAACCGATGGGTACTCAATGACTGCATCCACGAAGGGAATTCCACAATGCAATGTGGGGGCCTGCCTGGCTGCGTGCGCAGGCGTTACTTAATACATCCTGAACGGACCAGCGCGACGCATGCTTAGAGAGCCAGTGTGTTGATGCGCATCCCTCACGAACAGCATAAACATATGCCACATACGAGCACTTCGACATTGGTGGCAGACTATAGAAAAGACAAAGGCACCATAACATGTACTGGATGCAGGCGGGGATCACAGAGTTCGCTGCACGCATCAACATGCCAATTGACATGCCAAGAGGGCGGCAAGTTCAGATTCGGAGGAGGGTGGTCTCCAGAGGTCTGCACAAGTCCCCAGAAGTACCCAGATACTCATGAAATGATCTGAAGGCTCAATGAATCAAAATAATTTAAGAACCTCGATTCCCAAACCTCCAGGATCCAGGAGGAGGAGGAGGAGGAGGAGCAAAAGGAGGAGGAGGAGGCGCGAATGGTTTTCAGAAAGTGCCGTCAGACCGGTCCCGGGAAGGCCTCGTAGCATATGCCGCCGTCTCGGTTGTCGTCGTGGAAGAGCAGGGCGTCCTCCGCCATCCACTTCTGCTTCTCCTCTCTCGCCTGCGGTCTTGCCACGGAGAGGGGAGGGGTCGGGCCATAACTCAAGCCTCCAGCGGACGTTCGGGACGACTCTGGCACCCCCGGAACGCCCTCGACGAGGCGCAGCTGATGGAAACCACCATTCCAAATAACTCCCCCAGGCTCCTAAACTGTCCCCCGAGCCACCGAAAAACCAGGGCGCCGTGTGCCGCACTGGGGGCCGCCGCCCCCCGGCGCAGACGGGGGCGCTGCGGTCCGCGACGGGGGACCGTTCGCGTACTCTCCGCTGGGCTGCACGCAAGAGCGACGCTGGGTGAGAGTGACCTTTTGGTGCGCGGCGGGTGTTCAGGGGGCCCAAAAACAGGCGCGCACGACGCTACTATCGCACCCCGTTCGGCGATCCGGGGGCCCCAGTAGGGGCATCCTGGGGGCCTCTCGGGGGTCTCTTGGGGCCTCCTGGGCACCTCTTTGGGCCCCCTTGGGGCAGCCTTGGGAGCTTCGGGGGCCATCTTGGAGGCGATCGATCAAAGGAGGGGGGGCTCCTCAATTAGTATCCCCCCCCAGGACGCCAAAATGTGCAAAATGTGGCCAACACCCTACTAATACAATAGTGTTTACCGTCTCGCCGAGGCCTCTTGGGGCGCCTTGGTAGCCTCTTGGGGGTCTCTCGGGAGCCTCGTGAGAGCATCTTGGGGGCACCTTGGGGACATCTCGGGGGCCTCTTGGAGCCTCCTGGACGCATTTGGGGGCCCTCTCGGGATACTCTTGGGAGCCTCGGAGGCCATCTTGGGGCCATCTAGGAGGTGACCGACACAAGAAGGGTGAGGTTCTGATTAACCCCACCCCCCAGGAGGACAACATGTGGCTAAAATTCAAATAAAATGAGCGATTGTGGCTTCCCCTCCGAGGCCCTCTTGAACACTCCAAACCTCGCGAAAGGACCCGTCCAGACCCAAGGGGGGGGAGGGGGAGGGGGAGGGGTCAAAACACCCTCCCCGCCCGCAAGCTGTCTCGCTCACTCCCACCCACCCTCCCAGTGCATAAGTAGCACCCGGGCCTCAGCATGTTCAGCGGTCGTCTATGGATGGGCAGCTACTGGGAACCAATACAAACCCCATGTGCGCGATGGGGCAAGGTGCGCCACGCGTGCCAGGCGCTCCAGGTGCTCTGGGCACCCCTGGGGCCGAAGCGTGCCAGGCACGCCTCCGCGCTCCGGGTTTTTTATTTTCCCGTCATTCTTCGTTCCCCTAAGGAACCTGGCGCGCGGAGCGCGCCAGGGGCGGCGCCGGAGGCGCCGCCAGTGGGGTCCAGCGCGGATCCGAGAAATCCGCGCTGACCTCCGAGTTTTTATGTTTATGTCATTATTCGTTCCCCTACTACTGTACTACGGCCACTCGTTGGATCGATCTCCTCTGGGATGGCCCCCGAGGCTCCCAAGGATGCTCCAAGACGGCGCCGAGAGGTGCCCAGGCGACCCCAGGAGGCCCCCAAGAGGCCCCCCAAGAGGCCCCCCAAGAGGCCCCCAAGGGGCTCCCAAGAGACCCCCAAGAGGCCCCAAGAGGCTTTCCAGAGGCATCCAAGACGCCCCAAGAGGCCCCAGGGACTGCCAAGATCCCCAAGACACCCCAAGCGGACTCCAAGAAGCTCTCGGAAGAAATGCGAAGAGACTCCGAGAGACATCCAAGAGGCCTCTGGCCTTTCTGCTCGCCCTCCTCCTCCTCCTCCTCTTCCTCATCCGCCTAATTATCCTCCTTCCTCCTACTTCCTACCTCCTACTCCTACCCCTCTCCCTCCTCCTCCTCCTCCTCCTCCTCCTCCTCCTCCTCCTGCTCCTCCGATTCCTCCTCTATCCTCCCCCTCTTGGGGTATGACGTCTTACCCAACCCTTTCTCATAACTGCATGCTCCTCCACATCCCTGATCAAGGCAACTTGTCTGGGCATCGTTTCTCGATGGGCTGGTGGGGTTACGTCAAACATCTAGAACATCGGAATCGAATGACATCGGGCCGGCCCGACTCGATATCGAATCGGGCCGATCGGATCGGAATCGGCCCTGGAAAGGAGGAGCACGAGGGAAGACGAGGAGGAGGAGGAGGAGGAGGAGGAGGAGGAGGAGGAGGAGGAGGAGGAGGAGGAGGAGGAGAGAGAGAGGAGGAGGAGGAGGAGGAGGAGGAGGAGGAGGAGGAGGAGGAGGAGGAGGAGGAGGAGCAGGAGGAGGAGACTGCGCTGGGACCACTCGCCCGGCCGCGAGGCGCCGCCGACCAGCTTCTCTCCTCCTGCCCGGGTGTCGCCCGTGGCCTCTCCGCCGTGCCCCCCGCCGCTTCCCCCCCTGCACTCTGCCCATGGGACTCCCGGGTCGACTGCGAGGGCAACGGCGGGGCGTCCCGCCAGGAGTGCGTCCTCCCACTCGTGGAATCCCAAGCTCGGACCGCGGAGCGCCAGAAGGCCGTCAAGAGGCCTCTCGAAAGAACTCAATCACCATGGGGAGTTAGCCTCCTCGAAGGCTCCTCGAAGGAGCTTCTGGAGAGCTGCCGGGCAAACCTACTGGGAAACGCTGAGAGAAGGCCTGCTGGCACACGCTGCAGCTTCAAACCAGCCCCGCCGAAGTGTTCTGCCGGAAGGCGGAACGAGCTCCGGGGCTGCCCTCCGATGCCGGCTTCGAATCTGAAACTCTCTTAGCTCTCAACGAGCTATCCAGGAACAGTAGGCGCTCGACCACAGGAGACCTTCCACAAGAAGCCCAACCCTCAGACCCCAGGACGTCCACTGTTTTTTGGTGTGGGAGCGTCACGGTTTCCATAGCAACACCACCGAAACGCAAGAAACCTGGGGCATCCTGGAGGCAAGCATGGTTGTTCTTGGCATGGAGTTCCACTGTAGTTGGGCGGGTTCGTGTTGACGAGTATGACGTCTTATCAGAATACAATATTTTCATTCGAACTGGCGACGAGAGCGCCTTTCCAGGTGCAGTCTCCGAATTGGGCAGGTTCGAGTTGACGTGTGGGAAAGCCGCTACCACTGCCGACGGCACAGACATTCCATCGCACTCTACCAGCTGTGCGACTGAATCGGAGGAGTGCGGGGCAAGCATGCAGGGCCCAAGGACGCCCATGTCGAATCCGAAGTTGGAAGCCCATGGCTAAGGGCTAGAACAGGCCGAGAGGCAAAAATGCCAGGGCACCCTCAGAACGTAACTCGTCCTCAGGATGCGGTCCGTCTGCACGAGGCATGCCTCCTGCCTCCTGGCAGCGGGGCCTGCGGCTATGCACTCGCGTCGCCGTGCAGAAAGCCAACGGCTCGGGAGGTGTGGGCACCAGAAAGGGCGCAGAGGAAACCTCCATGCTGGATGTCAAACCTGAACTCTTGGATGAAACATCCAGAATGGAAAACAACAGCCGTATCGAAATGCGGTGGCAATTCATGGGGGCCTTCCATACCATGATGTCGGCTCTTGCGAATCGACGCTCGTCGACCCTAAATCGACGCTACTCGACGCTACATGAGCGCTATCTCGTCGTCTCCCAGACGCTACTCGACGCCAGTCGGCGATAAAGAGTGAATTGCAGGGGTATGCCAGGCTCCCATGGTTTGCTACATGGTAGAAAGTCGGATGCATCATTACGGAAGCTTGGAATCCTCTTGGGAGACCCGGTCCACCACCTGATGGGGGAAGCCGCAGGGCCCTGACGAGGCGAGGCCCGCAGGGCCCCCAGAGCGCGACGAGACGAACGTCCATCAGTGAGGGAGCGCGCCGCCTTGGCCAGAGGATGGGGGGGGGGAAGGGGAAAAGGAGGAGCGGGAGGGGGAGGGGGAGGGGGAGGAAGGAGGAGGAGGAGGAGGAGCAGGAGGAGGAGGAGGAGAAGGAGGAGGAGGAGGAGGAAGGAGGGGGGGGGGGGGGGGGGGAGGAGGAATAGCAGGAGGAGGAGCACGAGGAGGATGATGAGGAGGAGGAGCAGGAGCAGGAGGAGGAGGAGGAGGAGGAGGGGAAGAGGAGGGGGGAGGAGGATGAGGATGAGGATGAGGATGAGGCTGAGGCTGAGGATGAGGATGAGGATGATGATGATGATGATGATGAGGAGGAGGAGGAGGAGGAGGAGAAGGAGGAGGAGGAGGAGGAAGGAGGGGGGGGGAGGGGGAGGAGGAAGAGGAAGAGGAGGAGGAAGAGGAGGAGGAGGAGGAGGAGGAGGAGGAGGAAAAGGAAAAAGGAAGAGGAGGAGGCGGCGGAGGAAGAGGAGGATGAAGCCTACAAAGATAGGAACACTTACACTTCTCTCCCCCCGCAACCTGCGGCGTTCGGCGCAGCCTCTCGCTGCGACCGAAGCCGCTTCGGCAGGGGCCTGGGCCGTCTTTGACTCTGGTCGGGAAGGGGAGGACTAGCACAACAATACAGGGACGCGCGGCGCGCCTGACTGTGGAACAGCTCGGAAGGGGAGGGGCACAGCTCTAAACCACCAGCCGTCGAAGCGTTTTGGGTCGCTACCCCCCGCGGCCACAAACCACGCGACGAATGCCCGACCGCTTCCTAACCCTGCCATCACTGCTCCTGCTCCCCACTCGGCTGCGACACGTCCCAATCGAACCCAGTCACACTCATGAGACTCATGGGGGCCTCGTCGAGGACACGAATCATCTCACACAGCATAACGCACTGGTCAGTCATGGAATTAATATGGCTGTCTAGGTTGCGGATAGTGGTACTTCGGACTACCTCGAGCGTATCATCGACGTGCAGCAGAACGTTCAGCTGCTTGCGCTGTAACTTGACAAAGTCGAGCTGACTGGCCACGCGACTGTGCTCACCGATCATGCTCGAATGATGCTGGCGAAGAACCGCACCCGTCGATCCATGACACTGCCGGACCCTCTCTATCTTCACATTGTAGGCGTGGTGGCCCTCCCGCGTGACGGCGCAGCCTTCGAGCGGATCGGGATCATCGGGGCCGACGTCGCATCGCCCGAGGCTGCGTAGCTGAATCCATCTTTGCAGTCCTAGCTGAGGCCATCTCAGTCTCAGGTGCCAGCCTGGCACGGTAGGTAGCCTTCGACGCTGCAACTCGATGGAAACGGCTATCAGGAGCATGAACTGAGGGGGCTCCCTCTCGACATCCACTTATACGACGCCATCGGGCATCGAAAGCTTCTTGTCCAGACATGTAATGCGATTGTAATGATGGCGACATGTGGTGCCGAACGAGTTCCACTGCTCGGACAAGCTGCTGCACTCTCTCCACCCCGTTGTCCCTCATCGCATACAAGTTAGCAAATTTAGGAGGGTCTCGGGCGAGGTTCTGTGCCGGCATCATCTCTCTCTCTCTCTCTCTCTCTCTCTCTCTCTCTCTCTCTTTCTGGAAATTCCTCAGCTGGCGCCCCGCTGCTAGCTCCAGCTCGGCCCTGGGCCCCGCCCCCTTCGGCTTGACCCCCCCCCGCTTTGATGAAGCCCTGGATGAACGCTGTCGGACGCTCCTCATGTCCACCGCGGGTATCTGCACTGGGGGGCCCGTGGACAAGTGGAGGGCCGCCCTCAAGTCCAGGTTCATGTTGAGCGAGATCTGCGATTTTACCATGCGCTCCTGCTCTGGCGCTCCATCTAGGCGGTAGCGTTCCTTCAATCGGAACATCTTGAAAACAAAACCTCGTCAACGCATGCAATCCCGAACTCTTCGGGGCCCCCTGCTTCCATCCACTCCTTCAGCACCTTTTCTGCCTCGCCCTCTTCCCCCTCGCCCCCATGGGCGTCGTGGATTGTTTTGGCCATCCCTGCCGCGATGGCGCGTGCGGAGGGCCCATCTTGCGCCCCTTGCCCAGCTCTTTCACTCCCTTGTGAAACGCTTGGCCCGATGCGAACCCCTCCTTCGACACCTGGCCAATGGCGGTGAGAAGCCAAACCTCCGTCGGAATGCTGGCCATGTCGCGCTGCTCTGCTGCTGATCTTCTGCGATGCAACCAAAGCTTGGTGCTGTTCGGGCGCGGCGGCTGAGTTGTCTGCCCTCGTCTGCTTCTGTCCGCGTACCGCTCCTCCCCCCTTGCCTTCCTGGCTCCCGCCGCCCCCCCTGGCCCCCTCGCCGCCCTCTCTCTCGGTCGCCCCCCTCTCCTTCTGCGCCGCCCGCTGCGTCATCTCGAGCATGGCGAACTGCGCGCGGCCCTTGGTGGCGATGGGCGACGCGGGACTGGAAAGCCTCGAAGCTATCAGGTTGGCACTGGCAAACGCTGCAAATTAGCTCGTTCTCGCTCGGTTCGATGAACCGGCGTCGCCACTTCGAATGGCTGATGCAGCAGATCCCCGCCCCCTCTGCCGCTCGCGCTGCAAGGTCGATTGCTGCCCTCTCACTGGAGCAGTTCGACCTGCACCAAAGACATTGGTTTGTTGCTACTTGCTCAGGGATGAGTGGCTCTACCCGATGCTTCGTGCGACGATGCGCCACAAACGCTGCGGCTGATCGAAACCTGCGTCCGCAACCTACCTCGACGCCCTCGAAACCGCCACCTTAAAATCTCACCAGAATCGTCTATCGAGAACAGTTGGGTTATCCCCCTCCTCCTCCTCGTAGCGGTTCGGGCCGTGGTCCGCCGTGCTTCCACTCTCTAGCGACGCAATTTAGAGCCGCCGGGCCCGTCTTGATCCGAATCCCATGCTCATCGCAGCCGGCTGCGAACACAGTCATGTCGCAAGATCGTTTATTGCGCCAGTCTTGAAATTCGGGGTCGAGATTAACAGGGCGCCGCATGACATCGAGATGCTCTCTCCCCAACGGCGCAGCTTGCACTTGCCTAATGTTCATGCCCCAGAGGCGCGCCACTCCCTCGCTCAGGTCGCCCTGGGGCGCGCCGAAGACTGCTGCAAGGTCGGCTTCATGGTCACTCGGGAATTGTGGGCCCGGCGCTGGTGCCACTTCAAACTTCTCACCCTTAGCTCATCGGCACTCCCCATCGATCCTCCATTCCCTGAAAAATTCATCCATCGACGTCGCCCTCTTCCCCCCCTGCTCGTCCGCCCAGCAGTTCCTGCCTCTCGGTAAGTGCCATGGTAGCTTGCATGCTGCGCTGTCGATCGCTTCTGTGCATTCTTACCGATGGAACATGTTAGCCCGCGCAATGCTGCTCCTGCGATGAAGGCTTTGAACATGCTGCGCATGATGACCATCGGAGTCATCGACGACCGAAGCGTGCTGCGCTGCCACCGTGCTGCTCTTGCTGCGTCGCAGCGCATCTTCAGCGCGCGCCATGCGTCGCCCTAGCGCTGTGGCCCGACAGCATGCGTGGCCCTAGCACTCATCTCTCGTAGCGCCCCCCCCCTGAGTCCACTCGCCTGTTTCCGTAGAGCTCGCGTGCACTGGCAGCCGCGGCCACCGCGCAACACAAGAAGGCGGTCAGTCCAATCGGGATAGAGGCGCCAGCCTCCTGCGTTCAGGGCCCGGTCGACAACTTCTGTCTTCTGCGCCCCTATGGGCAGCGTCGCAATCTTCGTAATGTCGCCCATGAATGCGTCAGTGCCCCCCTCGTAGTGCTGATCATGAATCGGGTGTTTCGTACCATTGACGTGCTGTCCTTCATCTGCCCCCTCTCCCTCGGGCCACCACTCCGCGACCGGATGGTAGCTGTCGCTGTAATCTCTCGGGGCGAGGGCGCAGCCCATGTCCGTTTGGGCCCCCACGTTGCTTGTCAAATCCAATCACTCGTCAGAGGCCTCAATGGACAGATATGCGTGCTCCGTCGCACCGCGCGCACATGGCAAATCATGTTCATCGGTAGCGCAATGAATTTGCTCGCGAAGTACGCTGCGATCGGTCGACGCAAAGGCGTTGGTGCAAGCGAAATTGCCCATGACTAAAGACCGCCCTGCCTGTTCGCATCTCCACCTCGTTGCCAGCAATGCTCGTGCTGCGTTCTCTCGTAACCTATGCGCTAGGCCTCCGGGCGCAGGACGAGGTCGCGTGATAAGCAGAGCTCTACGATGAATCCCGCCATGCCATGCCACGCTCGCAGCACAACGCGCATACGGCATCCTTTTGCCAGCGATCCCCATCTTATGGTTCGGCTCTTCCGCCGCGAAGCTATAGGAGCGCAACATATATGATGGCGTAGTTTCGGCACTGTTTAACGTGTTCGAGAATATGATGTAACATCTTCGGAGCGTCAAGCTCTAAATCCTTGAAGAGTGGCAGTCCGTTAAGAAACAAACATAATTATCTGTAAGCTCGCCCTTCATCATTGTCACAATTCAGATTCTTACCACCTAACGATACGCTGCGCGTGCGCTGCATGGTACGGTTATTGTTTCTGTGCAGCCCTAATCCAATGTTCACATCCCCGCCTACAATGATAGCACATCTAACCCCCCATCGTACCCAATTGGTTTTCAATCCATATGAAGACACGGTCGACCATAATGTTGCGCTTGCCGTCGCTCATGGGCGCCAAGTTAAGACAACATGCTATAACGTCTACTTTTTGCGTCTGTATACGCATGCCTCCTACTCTTCCCCGAAGTTGGACAAGCAATATAAAGACTGCGTGTAGTGCTCTGCTCGGATTACGAATGTGCACCATTATAATCACACCACAGGCAGACGACACTACTTAACTCTTCTTTTTGCCGATATGTATTGCCCAATGCCGCGCATGCGCATGTTGCTGTGCCCAATGATCCGGCTGGGCGGTCTGACGCGTGCCTGCTACCAAACCACATCCCACGAACTCAGTTCATTCGATATGTCCCCATGCCTCTCGTACATAGCCGATAATAGGTTGTACGTGCAAACACGCATGAGAGCACAGAACAAGAGCACAAACATGCATGCAACGTGCGCCCTGCGGGGGGGATAATAAAGAGCAAGATCCTCGCTCCTGATTCGGACGGTCCTGCACTGAGAGCGGGCCGCCCGCGCGCGCGCCGCACGTCTGAAGCGGCAGCTGAGGAGGAGGAGGAGGAGGCAGACGAGGAGGAGGAGGAGGCGGAGGAGGAGAAGGAAGAGGAGGAGGGGGAAGAGGAGGACGAGGAAGAAGAGGAGGAGGGGGATGATGATGATGATGATGATGATGATGATGATGATGATGATGATGATGATGATGATGATGATGATGATGATGATGATGATGACGAGGAGGAGGAGGAGGAGGAGGAGGAGGAGAGGAGGAGGGGGGGAGAGGAGTAGGAGGGGGAGGAGGAGGAGGAGAGGCACAGGCAGAGGGCGAGAAGAGGGAGGGGGAGAAAAGAGAGGCAGCAAGTGGGCCTTCGACGCCTCAGCCTTCGTCACGGGGGTCTGCCAGGGCATCCGCCAACGGGCGTACAACACGCGGTAAACGACGAGGAGCTCGTCTGCCCCGCACAGCCCGGGGAGGCCCTGGCCGCCATAGCTCCCTCCTCCTCCTCCTCCTCCTCCTCATCCTCATCCTGCTCCTCTTCCTCCTCCTCGCCTCCTCTCTTCCTCCTCCTCCTCTCTTCCTCCTCTCCTCCTCTTCCCCTCCTCCTTTTCCTCCTCCTCCTCCTCATCCTCCTCCTGCTCCTCCTCCTCCTCCTCCTTCTCCTCCTCCTCCTGCTCCTCCTCCTCCTCCTCCTTTCTCCTCCTCTTCCTGCTCCTCCTCCTCTCTCGACGATGCTCAGAGCGTGCGCTGGCGCCAGCGAGCTTGCTCACCCAGGCCGTTGAGGAGGACCAGCACAAGGTGAACACCGTTGACGGAGCGGCACGGGGTGAACCCGCATGGGGTCGCCACGCGTCCTGAACGGTACGACCCTCCACAAGAAGTGATCGCCAAATGTTAACTTATACCCTCCCGTGCTTACGCTTGCGCGCCAAACTTGAAGGACAAAGATGCATGGCGGGAAGCGCCAGTGCAATCTAGTGTATATAAATATACATTTGTATATATATATATATATACACCCTCCTTTTCTATAGTTTACAAGCCGGTCCCCATTCCTCGCGTCTCCCCCTTCCCTCCCTTCTTGAATTGGGGGGGCGCCACAGGCGGGCCGCTGGACCGAAGGTGAAAAACAGGAAGAAGGAACGAACAGGCCCTCCGAGCCCGTGACCCACAATCGCACTCCTATATGATAGGCCCACGTTCCACCCTCACTACCATAGGTAGGAGAGGGAGGAGGAGGATGATGATGATGAGGAGGAGGAGGAGGACCTCCTCATCCTTCCTTCTCCCCAGTCCTACATATGGTGGTGGTGGTGGAAAACTGGCCCACCCCTGCACGATGCGAGCTCCCACCAGTCCTGAGGAGTGGTCGACGCCCGCCCACTTTTCCCTGCAGCCCTGGTTTCCTCTCCGTGCATCCGTGCACAAGGCGGCCCCAGGAAGGTGGCGGCAGAGCTCACACAATCGTCGTCATGGTGGTGGTGCTCATGGTCGTCGTCCTTTGGTTCCTCCCTTTCCTCCCCCCTCTTGGAAGCCGCAGTACTGCCGCAGCAGGGTCGCCACACATTATATGGATAAAGGGTGAGGATGCAAGACTCCAAGGCTTCTCTGACGTATACGAGGGCATCGCGGAATTGACTGAGGATTGGCTGGACAGGCACGGGTGCGAGGGCATTCTTGGAACAAGCAACTCATTCTCATTACAGGCGGCGACTGATTCTGCTCACGCTGGAATATTGCTACAGAAGGTCATGACCAGATCAGGCAGCCACCATGATAATGCCCGTTATCTGGTATGGCTCCTGTACTTCTCTAGACGGGACCAAGACGGCCCAGAACCGGCCCATGACAGATGCAAGATGCCCCACAATCAACCCAAGATAGCTAAACCACCGCCAGAAGGCTCCAATATGCCGCCAGGTTGCTTCACGAACTCCAAGGAAGCGGTCAAGGTAACCTCGAACGAAACCAATAGTCAAAAACAAAGAACATGTCGCATGCCGTGTGCAATTCACTCATGTGGTGTCAAATGAACGGCCACCTGGCAAAATCTATCAATACACAGCTTATGAAAATATTGACATGTGGGGATGACTTGCGCCTGCTGCGCATATGCTACATTTTGCTACACATCCAGTTGTGCGTCTTTTCGCACCCTGCACACTCACTGGCTCCATGCGGCACATCGCTCCATGTCGTGATCTGGATCTTACGTATACATCGCGTTATCGATTGAATATCGCTACATCGTGCGCATATTCATTTTCTTTGTGTTCGGCGTTATGTTTCGCAAACGAATGCATGCCTAGCTTCACGTGTTGCCTCACATATGCGTGGTATTCCTTTGGGGCATCGTCTTGCAATCTGTGTTGTGGCATGCTTACCTTGTGGCAATTCAAATCACAAGGGTTCCGCAGTGTGTTTCGAGCGATTCACAGTCTATAGCGCCAGATTGGCATCTGAGTCACCACTGTGCTCCACCTGAGCGCCCCCGGTTCCCCTTGGAGCCCTTCCAAAACGAACGACCACATGGGATACCCCCCGACCGAGGCTGGAAGAGATGGGGCCGGAGGATCGCGGCGCCTCGCCGATGCATCGGCGACGTCGATGGAGAAAACCGGGTTCCAGAGCGCGCCGCACCACCCGACGCATCGGCAATGCGGCGCAATCCTCCGACACCATCTGCTCTGGCCTCGTTTGGGTGGCCTGGCTATGTGCCTGGACATGGGAGACACAAATAAATATGCACAAACTCCTGGATTCACCATGATTTCTGGATTTCCGTATTCTCCTCCACTTCCCATATTTTGAAATATTTGTCTGGGCATCGACGATCATGTGTGTCGTGTGTCTGTGCCCACGTTCCTCCTGAGTAATACATGCGCTGCCCAAAGTCCCCGTCCAAGCGAGAGGCTATCGTCGCGATTCTTGTCCACCTGCTGGAACCTCTTCCTGATCTCCTTCTGCGCTGCCTCGCCCCGCAATCCTGGCCGACGGAACGACACTGAGGGGACGGAAATTCTGATCGACGATGTGACCACGCTGAAGTCCAGAGAACATTATCATAAGAAAAAATATAACATGAATGTTCGGAGCTCCGTGCGGATATCTTCGATCTGCTCTAAGCCCCCTCCCTGACGCGCGGAGCGCGCCAGGGGCAGCGCTGGTGGCACCGCCAGGGTGGGCCAGCGCCGATCCGAGACATACGCGTGGACCGCCAAAGTTAATGTTTACAGTGCAGGCCAGTCCACAAGAAACCTTCCACAAGAAACCCAACCCTGAGACCCCAGGACGTCCATGGATTTTTGATGTGAGAACGTCACGATTTCCTCGGAAAAGAAACTTGAAACCCAAGAAACCCAGGGCACCCTGGAGGCAAACAGGGTGTTCAGTGGCATGGGTCCCCATTTTTTGTTGCTCGATCATCTCCGCCAGCTGTGGGGCCTTCAGGCCGTGTGAGGATCACCTTCCATCGGTTTCAATGCAACGGGTTGGACAACGAATACAGTCGAGGCGTTGACCTAAGGAACCCAAAATAAGGAACGAGGCCCCTTTTGTCATACATTAAACTTCGAGTGCCCATCGAACACTTAAGGAAAATCTTAGGCAAGGTGCGGAACAATTAAGGAACACCGAGCCCCTCCCCAACGCAAAGGGTTCTGTCTTCAGCGCCCCGACTTAAATTTAGATGTGTACTGTGCCCCACTGCAAGTCTCCGCCACCGCCCCAAAACGGCGCCCCTTGGCATGGCCTGGGCGGGATCTCAGACTTTCTGCCCCGCCTCGGATCCCCACTAATAATTCGGGCGTTGGCAGAACTGGGTTTAGTGGGACATGGTTTAGTAGAGGGCAAAAAATCCACCCCCATAATAATCACCCCAGCAAGCGAAGCTGTCTAGTAAACGCACCCAGGGAAGGAATCAAACAGGGCAAGGTTGTTGAGTAAACGCCCAGAGCCATTTAGTAAACGCCAATTGTCTGGTCTGGGTGGTTTCCTCCCTGGATTTAGTGACGTGTACTGGGGGACGCCCCCCCCCCGCCCCGTTCCACTAACCAGAATTGCCGTCACCCGAAAAAAACACCAGCTACGGCGGACCCGGTTCAATGTTTCTGGCCAGTTTAAGGGCTCCGGGACCTTACTACTGACCGGGTCCCCTTACCTGGGGTCTTGGCTACACCCGATAGTACAAAGGATCCGCACTCCCATGGCCAAGATCCCTTGTAAATTACTCCGGGCTCGCGTTCCCAAGGCCAGGACCCCTCGAGAATCAAAGGAATCCGCGCTCCCAAAGCCATGAACCCTTGCAAATTGTAAAGGGTCCGCGCTCCCAGGGCCCCGAGCCCTGGTAAATCGCACTTGGTCTGGGCTCCGCAGGCCACGACCGCTTGCGAATGCATATGGGTCTGCGCTCCCCGGGCCACGATCACTTGCAAACTACAATAAGTCCGCGCTCCCGTAACCACGATCCCATAGTTACTTAAGCCCGCGTTCCCAGAGCCGCTGTCGCTCGTGAATTGCGCTGGGTTCGCGCTCCCAGGGCCACGAGCTCTCGACATCTGTAAGGAATCCGCGCTCCCAGGGCCAGCACTTCTCCTGAGTGAGAGCGGATGCACGCTCTCAGCGTCAAATGAGAAGATCTGCTCCCCCTGGGCCACGATCTCGCGAAGATTAAAACAAAAAACGCTCCGCAGTCCTAAAGCTACACTCCGCCCAGAAATGGGTCTGGGATCTGCTGCCAAAGTGCCCTCTCGATTTCACGGTCTCGTCCACAGCCCTTCTCAAAACATCTCGTCTGAAATCTTTTGTTGGGTGTGCTGGTGGGGATACGCGAATCCATGCCCGCAACCACTGCAACTATGTGGCGGGACACCAGCCACCGTGCGATTGCATTTCGGCTGCAATAAGCGGGGCAAACTGCAGCGCCCGTCAACACAACCTTCTCAACCTTCGAGTTCGCAGCTGTCGCATGTGCAATCGGTCGAGTTTTTGCGACGCAGCCTGGCAATCGTCAAGAGACGAGACAACTTCGTGCTTCTGAATTAAAATAGACCTTGCAACCCCGAGATTGAGCTAGCTGCCACTGGAGTTGGCGCCGTGGCATGCGCTGGGTAAGGTGGAACAGACGAAACCAACGCAACAGCGGCATGAGGCTTGGCCGGAGCCCTCGTGACCGTGAGGGGCTTCCAAACACCTGTGCAGCACGCCGCAGTCGCCCTGCGCGCCGAACCCCCTCGAAACACGGGCCGCGCGAACGCGCGCGGCCTTCATATTGGCAGCGGCCCGACGCACGCGACGCGCCCGTCCTGGGGGTGCGCGCAAGCGCCTGGCGACGACAAGGGGTCCGGATTACCAGCGGATCACCGGGGTGCGCAGGAAAGGCGCAGGGCCCCTGGACGTCCGCGCTGAGGCCGAAGTTGGCAGCCCATGGATGCCCATGGCCCGTGGCTGAGGGTCAGGATGGGCCGAGAGGCTGAGGATGCGGGGGCAACGCTGGGAAGCTCTTCCTCCTCGTAATGGGGCTCGGCTGCAGCAGGGGAAAGGAAAGGTGAACCATACGCTAGGGCGCGTCAGCGCGGCTCAGGCGAGCACAAAAGACTGGTCGATCAGAAAGCACCCGAACTCCATCCTCACCACATACTCGAACAGCGTGAGCATGTGGATGTTCGAAAACAGCCGTGGTTCAGGAGAGGCAAAGAGCGCAGGACATTGAACCGCCCGCTCTGGTTGCGGAGGGCCTCGCGTTTTGCCGACGCGAAGAAGGCCCACCGCGCGCAGAGCAGTCACCGCGCCGGCGGTCAGGCAGGAGGGACAGGCCGGCAGCCGAAGCAAGTCGTGGGGCGGACGTCGTCGCTGACCGAGCTCTGGGGGCCCCCCCCACCACGATTCTTCCTCCTCCTCCTCCTCCTCCTCCTCCTCCTGCTCGTCGATCCTCGAGGTTCAAAGATCGATGGTTTCCCGATGTCTTCGACGCTAATCGGGTCGTTGGAGGCCTCCCCGGTCCTCCAGAGGCCTCCACGGGACCTCCTCCTTGGTCCTATGTCGGCTGGGTCAGTCGACCCCCGCGCCCTTCGTCACCCTCACAACCCACAGATCGTCCCGCGGTCTTGCCAAGGATCCCCGCAGCAGGCCGCGTGGCTCAGACGCGCGTACGGAGCATCTGCCTTCCGCGCTCCGCGGGCGTCGGCCTGTGCAACTCCCCTCTGCTCGCACGTACTTGGATCTCCAGATCTCCAGCCCTCGTGGCGCTGCTCAGGGCCCGCGCTGCGCTTCCACACCTGTGCTTTGAGCAGGGACCGACCGTCCCGGTATTCCTGTCGGCCTACCACGACATGTTCTTAGAACCCCCAAAATGTTCGAATGACAAAGACAATGCTCTTAGAACATAAGCCCGACGTGGTAAAACAAGACAGTCTCAGCCAAACATCATCTAAGAACATCTCGTGCAGACCACAGAAGGTTCTTGGACCATTGTTTTTGGTGGGCCTATAGGCAAACCAAGACGCTTCTGGGGACACCAAAAGGTACCGATACCGCTACTGCCTGGACCTCTCCCGGGGTGCGTTCAGACCAGGATTTCGAGACGAATGCAGCGGTGGCGACGAGGGCCTCCCAGGAGGCCGAAAAAGAGGAAAACGGGCGAGGAAAAGCGGTATGAGTACCTTTTCCTCTTCTGAGCTTCACCACTGCTTGAAAGCTGGCGCGGCACTTTCGTCACCCGCAGTGTCCGACAGCCCACGGCTCGCCGAGGAACACGTACGGCTGCATCCTGGCCAGGCTGCGCGCGGGCGAGCGAGGCAACCACGCATGGCACACGGCAGCAGGCACAACGCACGCTGGGCCTCCTGCCGCCGCCTCCGCTTCCGCTCTCTGCTCCTCCCTCGCCTAGCTCCTCCTCCTCCTCCTCCTCCTCCTCGTCGTCGTCCTCCTCCTCCTCCTCGTCCTCCTCGTCCTCCTCCTCCTCCTCGTCCTCCTCCTCCTCCTCCTCCTCCCTTTCCTCTCCTCCTCCTCGTCGTCCGCCTCCTCCTCCTCCTCCTCCGCCTCCTCCTCCTCCTCCTCCTCGTCGTCGTCCTCCTCCTCCTCCTCGTCCTCCTCGTCCTCCTTCGACCTCCTCCTCCTCCTCTCCTCCTCCTCCTCCCCTCCTCTCCTCCTCCTCCTCCTCCTCCTCCTCTCCTCCTCCTCCTCCTCCTCCTCCTCCTCCTCCTCGTCCGCCTCCTCCTCCTCCTCGCCTCCTCCTCCTCGCCTCCTCATCCTCCTCTTCCTCCTCCTCCTCCGCCTCCTCCTCCTCCTCCTCCTCCCTCCTCCTCCTCCTCCTCCTCCTCCTCCTCCTCCTCCTCCTCCCCCGGCTCTGGGTGCGCCCCCGTGCTGCGCGAGATCGCACGAGTGCCAGGCAGCCTCCGAACAGATCTCAAGGGGCGCACAGGGGGCCGGTCTCCAAGAAGCCTCGCCGTCTACAACCCTCGTCAAAATTGACCTCAAACGTGTCTTACGTGGCTGAACTGTTTTTAGGTTGCATCCTCGTGGGACCGTCTGTCCTGTCGCGGCCCTATCCGCGTCGAATCCGTGTCGAATCTATGTCGGACTCATCGGATCCGCGTCGAATCCGTGTCGAATCCGCGTCAAGTCCACGCCGAATCCGCGCCGAGTCCGCATCGAGCCCGCGAGGCACCCCGAAAATGCAACGTAACTGTTTGTGGGGAGATACTGGACAGAGTAGCGGTGACTGCGAAGTACTTGTATGCGCCGCCCCTCCACTGCCGGTCATCATCGAACTTCCGCGAGTCGTTCCCGGTCAGACCACCTTTGTCCCGGCCCCAACATTGGAGGGGCGTCGTATCGACATTGAAGGGCGCGCCGACATCGCAGGGGCGTGTTCGCCATGTTTGAGGTTAATTTTTGGGACGCGCCAGTGGCCGCCAGTGTACCCCCCCCCAAAGCGCCTTCCCAGCGGTGTCAAGATGGCCTCAAGACGGCGCCAGGAAACTCCACGACGGCTCCAAGGCAGCCTAGCGACGGCCGAGGGCGGCCTCACCAAGCTCGCTGGACGGCCTCAGTATCATCCTAAACTCCCCGAGTGCCCTGCCAGGCAGCCAGAGCCAGAGTGCACCCCAGTGTAGCCCAAAGCTTACGAGGAGGCTTCCTAGGATCTGAACGGGCCCCTGGGGAGCGCGCTTCAACAAGCTCATGGGAAACAGAAAGCAATGTCACGTGTTACGGCCATCTGAGGTATGAAAAACAACTGCCACTTCTGACGGCCTGCTCTCCACTGAGGGAACTTGATGCCAGATGTTACGGCCCTCTGGGATCTGGGGGAGAGGACATCACATGTTACGCATCTCTGGGCCACCCTCGACAATGCAGAAGAACGCCTCACGTGTTTTGAGCTTCTGGGGCTTTGGAGCGAGAGCTGTCATACGTTATGGCCTGCAGGCCGGCCCTCGACAGGTCACCATTCATAGGGGCTACGTCGGCACGGCTGCAGAACTTGCCGCACACACTAGGTGCAATGATGCAGATGTGCGTACAGCTGACCATGGGATGACACCATGTACCACCACAAGAAGCACGTGGAGTGTACAACAGCCTGTGCAGTACGCAGTGTGAACTACGACACGTGAAACCTGAACGGCAAATCATGTTTTGCTTATGGCATCTTGCGTTGGACGGCCAGTATTTCATGGTGCTCGAACGCTATATATCAATGCCGACGCCCACTCACTTAAGAAACCGCGTCCGTACAGCTCCTCGTACAATGAAAACGAACCCTAAGCAAACAGCCCAGCACTATCAACAGGACAATACATTTGCAATGAAATCTGCAAACTGAAGCGCCAGGCCATGACTGCGAAGTCAAACGCCCCAGGCTTCTCGTGGAGAAGACAGCCAACTGCTTGCAGCGAAAGTCCATAGGATCAGCGGCGATGAAAACGCACGTTTCCAATGAAATGCTGCGCATGTGGTCCGCTCCACAATTCAATTTTCTTGGCCGTCAGACAGATGGGTTCGCAGCAAGCGGCCCTCGTGTCACACATATTCACACATGACATGAAACCACGTCGAATTTCGAAACGCCGTGTACGAGATCCTGCTGTGATTCGGCGGCGGTAATGCACGGCCACACATGACACCAGCAAGCAAGCTGTCATGTCGAAAAGAACAACTTGCCAGTCGGTCCGGTTTGCAATCCCATCCATCATGGTCTTTGATGGTCTCTGGAAGTGGACGGTGCGTTCCAAACACCTGGGTCCAGGAGGCCACCATCTGAAGTCTTCCATCAGGGTTTGTATGTATGTATGTATGTATGTATGTATGTATACATGCAGATATGTATGCAGGTATGTATGTATGGATGCATGCATGTATGTATAGATGTATGTAGGTGTGTATGTATGTATGGATGGATGGACGGATGCATGTATGTATGTATGTATGTATGCATGCATGCATGCATGCATGTATGTATGTATGTATGCGTGTATATGTGTATGCGTGTATGCATGTAATCATGTATGAATGCACGTATGCATGTATACATGTATGTACGTGCATGCATGTATGCATGCGTGCATGTATGTACGTATGTACGCATGTACGTATGTATGCGTGTAAATGGGTGTGTACGTGTACGTATACGTGTACGTGTACGTGTACGTGTACGTGTACGTATGTATGTATGCATGTATGTATGTATGTATGTATGTGTATGTATATATGTATGTATGCATATATGTATGCATGTATGTATGTATGTGTGCACGTGTATGTATGTATGTATGTATGCATGTATGCATGCATGCATGCATGTATGTATGTATGTGTGTATGTATGCATGCATGCATGTATGTATGTATGTATGTGTATGTGTGTTTGTATGTATTATGTGTAGATATGTGTGCAACATTCGTTTTTAATAATTGCAAGAGTTTCACGGGTTCCCATGATCAAAGTACCAGAACTGGTGTCTTGGACGGATTCAGGACCATGAGGGCACAACAATTACGTTCATTCGCGGTGTTGAAGCCCCAATAATGGCGTTCTGGCACGATTCAGGATCGTCAAAACGCAACTGTCAGGTTGATCCGTGGCGTTGGAATCCCGAGAACAATGTTTTGGCATGCTTCAGGGTCTTCAAACGGTTGTCTTCCAACGAAGCAGCTCCCTCAATGGAAACGAATCGTTGTAGGGGCCTATGAAGAGGGAGCTTGGAGGGAGTGTCTCTTCGAACATCGTTGATGACTCTTGGGTTTACACTGGTCCTCCTCCTCCTCCTCTTCCTCCACCTCCTCCTCCTTCCCCCCCCTCATCCGATTGCGAAAAAATAAGGTCGGACCCAGGCCAGAAGAACATTTCGGTGGCAACTCATGTCAGCCTCCCATACCATTTTGTCGGCTCTTGCGAAACGACGCAAGTCGACGCTAAATCGACGCTAATCGACACTAAATCGACGCTGATCGACGCTAGCCGACGCTAAATCGGCGCTATCTCATCGACTCGCAGACTGCAGTCGACGCTAATCGACGCTAAGGACAGAATTCCGAGAGTACACAAGGCTCCCATGATATGCTACCGAAGAACGTCCCTCAAGAGCATGAGACCCTTCGTCGGCCAAAGCACACAGAACATCCCAGGGTACCCTCCCCAGGATTCACCAGAGCACCCAGCGCACACGAAGAACATCAGGGTACCCTCCCGCACCGACCTCGATCTGATACCTCGGTCCGACTGCAGGTAAAAACTTGAAGTAGGAAAGCGGATAAAGTAGACTGGGTTCAGGCCCTCTCAGAGAAGAACAACACACAGCAACAGCATATCGATTCTTGAAGTGGGCACGCGCCAGAAGTAGATTGGGATCCGGGAGTCCAGAAATAATATGATGGGTCGATGCTTCACGGCGGCCTGGACCCCACCTCTCAGAGCGGTGACGCGAGGAGCTTAGAGGGGGGTCGTCCTGGCGGTGTGATCCCCCCACCCTCCTCGAGACAGCCCCTACAATATCCCCCAAATTGGGGAGGCATCGTGGACCCCCACGCCGGATGGCGGCGCCTCTGGTTAGGTCGGGCATGTCACCTTACAGGCGGATGTTGGGCGACAATTTGAAAACATATGAAAACAAGTGCTCAAAAATAATCCAAAGTAATAGAAAAAACGTCTCGAGACTATTTAACTATTTTTGAATTTTCCTCCTGTAGAGGGACACGCCCGACTTAAGAGGGAAGGGGCCCTGGGACACACAAATAAATAGACACACATATCAGGATTCCCCATATGTTCCTATATCTTATGGTTTTTGCCTTCCCCCACTTAAGTCTGTCATGTTTTTCCCCCCCTGGACGAGAGTGGGAGAGGAGGACGGCGGGAGGGTGAAGGGAAGAGTAAGCAAGGGAGAGGAGGGAGGAGTAGGGGAGGGAGAGGGGGAGGAGGCAGGAGGAAGAGAAAAGGAACGAAGCTGAGGAGGAGTGAGGGGGAGAGTGTGCGTATGCCTTCTGGAGTGGGAGTGTCTTCGATTGGAGGCCTGCACGAAGTATCTTGTAGTCTCTTCGGGGGCCGCTAGGGGGGCCTTATTGTTTGCCTATTAGGGGTCTCCTGGGGACCTTTTCCGTTGGTGGCTCCGAGCGCTTCAAAAGCTACCTACTGCAGCACTGCCAATACCAGCAGAGGGGCCAACTCCAATCGACCAAGCCGTTGATTCGAAAAGGGCAGGCCGAACTAAAAGGTATATTAAAAATTACAGTCCCCAGCGAAGCTGTTGGCGCCGGCAGGAGCAAACGG